GTATTTGCCGGTTCTCTGAACTACTCAAAATTTCCGCTACTGGTTCTCCAGAACTAGTCAGAACCTGCTGAATACAACCTCTGGAGCAGAATCCCTCAAGTGACAGAGGATCCTGCAAATCATTTTGGAATACAGAACTTTCCAAGAATGTGTTATTTAAACACAGTATTTATGTCTAATTACAATTTCTAAATAACGCTATACAGCAGGTTTTTTTTAATTGAAATGTGAATGTTTTAAACTTGTGTCTACAGTGGTGGAGTTATATCTATTTTTTTATAGACAGCATGGTATTATAGATGGATATATATGTATATATATATATGAAATTTTACAGTGATATGAATTTGCATTAAGGAAATTGTAATAGTTTACCAATGGGAAACAATTTCAAACTGCTCATTTGTTTCACATCCTTACTTTGCTACTATATTATATAGAATGTCTCTGCTTGAAAGCTTTCCAATAATGTGTCATTCATAGTTAAAACAATGAAGTCAAAGAGCATGAGAGACTTTAAAACTTGATTCCCCCAAAGAATTGGTCCTTACTACTGCAAAGAAATCCTGCAATGCATGATGAGGTCAAAAGCATGAAGTCTTGTATGACTCTTATAAAAAGTAACACAATATTTGTACAGTACATGTATATAAACAATATTATTTATAAAAGCTGGATAGTGTCATGGGAAGCACAGTTTAGAAATGATAAAGTACTTATAATTGTTTCTTATTATATTTCTCATTAAATATTTAAATGGATAAACAGTTCAAACTAAATTATTAAAATAAAAGATATGTTTCTCTTTCAGAACTGTGCTAGATTAATTTATAGTTTAATGAATTAAGATGATCATTTATTAATACGTTTTACAAAAATGTTCGGTATGCTAGGAATTTTTTCAAAGCTTCACAATGTACTTCCTTCTCCTACTCAATAATAAATCTTTGTATTCTGTGTAGGGAAGCAGAGCACAGAGAATTATCTACAACCTTGGCTTTGCTGATAATTTACTGAAAACATTTGCACACTTCTATAAGCTGTGTTTTTCCTGTCCATATATGAGAGGGAAAATAAAACAAAGTTAGTTATAAGTTATCTCTTAAATGCTACGAAAGCATCCAACATATGAGCTGCAGCTAAATATATGGGCAAAGTCCATACTTAACTTCCTTTCCTGGATGATTTTTTATTTATTATTTAGTAAGTAATATATAATTCTCTCTCTCTCTCTGTCTATCATCTACCTACTTACCTACCTACTCAGGCTTGCTCTCTATTAATGCTTACTGATATTTATGTTTCTATATGGCCATGTTGTTGTGTTTCAAGAGAGCAGGTTAACTGTTGTCTATCTCTGTAAGACCATATTTATGTTGGTTGTCAAGTTGGCAAATAAAAAGGGCAGGGATTGCAAAAGTGGTGGTGATAGCAAATGAGGGAAACATATGCTGTTTTATATAAAATTCCGGGGAGGAATTACATTGGAAATAGAATTATTCTATTTGACAACAACAACAACAAAAATGAAATTTCCCTACTGCATGCATTTTCCATGAAAATTTACTTAATTTAGCATTCATCTTTTTTTAATCCTGCATTATATTTTCAGCCTCTCTCTCTGTTTTTTATTCATAATCATTATGAGAAACAGAGCTTAAGGTTAGTTTATATATCCTTAATGAGACTTTTGTGAATAATAGTATAGTGTTATTATCTAGATTTCCCCCCAATTTTCATTATTTAATTCATGGAGGGTATTTTGTAAAATGTACTGAGCAATACAAATCTTAAGAACATCCATGTATTGTTTGTAAGCCATGAAATAAATTATTTTAATATCCAGCTAGATATCAACAAATAGGCCTCAAATCTGGCCTTAAAAACTTAGGATAGGATCTAATTAGTACAAATGACAGCCTAGAAATTATGTGGTTGTAGATAGGATATGGAAGTTAGAAACACATTCTGGAAAGAAGCACTGGCAAACCAGTTAAGCATTATTGGTAAAAAAAAAAAAAAATTAGCCTACATGGATATGTGTATGAAGCATGTAGTAACCCACCTTTACTCCAAGGAGATTGTTTTCCTAAGCAAGATTTGCTATAACCCTACAACAGTTGAACTTTTTCTGATTTTGTAGCCTGGAGCTTAGTTTAATAATGTATGTCTCATTGGAAAACATTGTTTCTTCACTGTCACTCTCTTTTTGCTTGCAACACTATTAAAATGTCTTAGGATTTGTTTTATGTTTACATTGACATTGGAAAACTAAGATTTAAACTTAGCAAGAAAGTCAAATTTCAAACGAATTTTGTTTTGATATAGTGGACAGCTATGGTTTTGTTGTTCACTTTCAGTAGCAGCTCAGAAGAAAAGGAAATAATGACCTATGTGGGATGGAATCAGTGGTGGGTTCGGCCCGGTTCGGCTGAGCTGGTAGCGGTGACGATATGACATCACCGAACCGGTTCTCTTTGTTTGGGAACTGGGCCCTCCCCCCCACATTATTCTTACCTTTTATTTGACCCCACCCCCAATCTATTGCTGCCTCCCGAGTCCCAGTTGATTGGCTAGAAGGAAAAAAACTGTTTAAACTCTTGCCACGGGGCTTCAAAGGGCCGCCCTACAGCTGATCAGTAAAGGCAATGTGGTGGTAGACCGGTGCCTCCAAAAATGAATGAGTAGACCGGTGCCTCCAAAAACGAATTAGTAGACCGGTGCCTCCAAAAACAAATGGGTAGAACAGTACAGCTCTGCAAGCAGTTAAAAGCCTGGTAGACCAGTACCTCTGCTAAATCCTAAAGAATTGTCACATAACTATCAAGCCAGGCCCACAAAATAAGCCACACCCACAGAACCAGTAGTAAAAAAATTTAGAACCCACCCTGGATGGAATGGGACCATCCCAATTATTCTGGATTTATGAATTTTCTGAACGTTACAGAAATGTTCTTGAAATACATGTCTGTTTTGCTTATTTCAAATCTCTTTTTTGTGGAATCCAATTTTGAATCAACTTAAAGTTTGCTAAGTTTAACCTACATAATTTCAGATTTAAAAATCTATCCAAGTTGTCATGACAGATGTCTTCTCTAAAATGTCTCAGAGATCTGGCTTTCTAAATAGCATCTCCATCTTCATGCTATATTCTCTACCATTTTGAAGCTTGGTATTTTCAGATCCTGATGTCACTGCCATTTTCAAAATCTTTATGCCAGCTTTGAAGGTATGAAAAAAAACACCTAAATTAGGAGAATTTATGACATGGATACTAATGAGTATCCATGACATGTGGGCTCTGAGTGTTGGTTCAGCTGCAACTTCACCAAGCACCTGAAAATAAATGGATCTGTTTTGTGACTGAAATATGTTTGGATGTTCTACATAGTGTTTAATTCCTGGCTCTCTACTAGGCTCATAGTTCTTTGGTTGGAAAATAATAATATGTAATTTCCAGGGGTGAAATCTAAAATTTATTACTACCGGTTCTGTGGGCGTGGCTTGGTGGTGGTGGGTGTAATGTGACTGGGTGGGTGTGGCCAACTTTTTTTTTTTTTACTTTTAAAAGCATTTTTTCTACAATCTTAAGAGGTTGCAGAAAAAAATGCTTTTGGAAGCCTCTGACAATCAGGCAACTCAGCTGGGATCGCCAGAGGCTTTTAAAGGCATTTTTTTCCCTCTACAACCTCTTCAGGCGATCTGGTCCGAACCGGGAGCATTTCACCCCTGGTAATTTCCAATTTATTCTGCACCCAATAAATACACTCCTTATATCTAGACAAGAGTGAGCACACATCATTCAGTATAGCTAGCAAAATATAGCCTGAAGTTTATTGGTTAAACGTCAATACACATAAAAAAAATTTAACTAGCAGGGACAATTAAAAGAAGAAATGACAAAGAAACATGAATAACAGACAACAGAGTTTACACTATCTACTCGCATAAAATTGGAGGTGTCTTGGCAACGTTTCGACGAAGTCTCATTCATCATCTTCAGGCTGGTGTTTTCGGCTTTGTGCTTCTAGGAGCAATATTGCTCCTACAACATTGCTCCTAGAAGCACGAAGCCGAAAACACCAGCCTGAAGATGACGAATGAGACTTCGTCGAAACGTTGCCAAGACACCTCCAATTTTACGTGGGAGAAAACCCGAATAACCAAAGACCTACATACAAACACCCGCGAAAACCTCAGAAAACAAATATCTACTCTATATATCTATATATAGAGATAAAAAGACAGAACTTTCCAAAGCACTGGAAATAATATTATGGTAACCAGACTAAAGGGAGTGGCCTTTGTTGTTCCAGTTCTACTCCTTTTATGTAACAGTAACAGAATAGAGATGGAAAATTGGACACCAGATAATCCCTCCTCATTCTATATCATGAAAGAAATGTGGCGTATGGGGATAACATAACCAATAACCAGAATTAATTAACCAAGTAGAATGATAAATTATCAATTGCCAATAAGGGTGCATGGTTACTTTGAGTAGTGCACATTGGAAATTAAAAAAGTGGGGGTGCAAGAGATAAGGCCATATATTTAATACTAATGCTACAACAGAAAACAAGCCTTTGGATATTTTAATGGACATTTGGCATTGTTTTTTAAATACAGGAATGGCACTGCTAACAGACATTTTTAATTCCACTACATGGGTATCATGAGACGTTTATTAATGCTAGGCGATGATTAATCTTACAGATTGCTCTTTCATTTATTTTGAATACTTTGAAGAGTTAAACAATAAAATGCTCATTGCCATTAAGAGCTTATCTGGTTCTTTGTTTATTAGTAATGTGAAATCCTTCCCTTGGAATTTCCTGTTTTATTCTTAACTTCCTAATTTGTAAATGTTGTCCTATATTACCAGTGACAACCGTTAAAGTCATTAGCATATATCAAACTATTTTGCTTAGGGTCAGTTAAGGTTTGGTCTTTCCCACTGTGACAGACACAGATGTCTTAGCATTTCCCCCCCCCCCCCCCTTCATCACAAAAACTTGCATAGTGCCTCAAAATATGTTTGCTTTTGCTGACCTTCATGCAGAATATTTTAGGAATTAATTCAAAGAATCATAGCTCTAGTTTTAATGATTATACTAGCATTCTATGATTCTTCCTCCTGTAAATTTCATTTTATTCTGTTGTATTTTTTATTTCAAACTGATAAAATTTAAAATATATAACAGAAAGCACACGCACACACACACACACACAATCAATATAACCAAATACAAATTAATATAAAGTGAGGAAAAATAAAAAAGAAGCTAAATTAAAAAGAAAGAACTCAAGGAGAAGCTAAAACTGCAAGAAAGAAAAAAAGGAAAACAAAAATAGAAAAAAGGAAAAAGGTATAAAAAAATAACTTCTAGTCTTTTTGCAGCACTTATAAGTACAATTATAAATGTACTTCTTACGCTATAGCTACAACACAACTGTCCTGTTTATAGAATCTATCCTGTCTAATCATCAAAACCATAAATCATTAGTTCATTTTTTTCTGTTTTATGTAAAAAGTCCATAAGGAGTATTCAGTCGATAATAAACATAGATTTTGTCTTTTCTCTATTCAAAGAAATCAATTTAGCAAATTCAGCAAGTTCCGTCATCTTCACCAACCATTCCTCCATTGTGGGCCATATCTTTTCATTTCGTGTATCCAATAATCTTGCTGCAATTATCAGGTACAGGGGAAAAAAAAGTACCATAACTTTTCCCCAACTGTTTGTACAACAATCCCCAAAGAAAAAACTGCAGTCTAATAATCTTTTAAATCCTCTGAATCAGTTTATGCATTTGAATACAGAATTTTCTGGATTTTTTACATGTCAGCCAAACGTGATAAAATGTCACCATAAATTTGAGGTGTCTTTAGACATTCTAGACAATTTTTGGGATGACATATACCAATGATACATCATTTAAAAATTATTTGAGATTATAACAATAAATAAAAAAAACAAAAATTTAATAACTTGAATAAAACATCTTAGTTTTTGCAAAAGATTCTTACAGGGGAGATACACACATACACACACATACGCACACACATATATGTATACATATATACTGTATGTGTGTGTGTTGAACAAAATGATAGCTATTCTAATTTTTCTAGAAAGAAGTTCACCAGGAAAAAAGTTCACTTCCCATATGTCTATGGAGATTCTCACGCATCCAGGTCATAGTTGTCCCAAAGGTGCTTTTTCAAGGGGCAACTGGACTTTCTTGTTTTTCTCTGAAGATGTTTCACTTCTCATCCAAGAAGCTTCTTCAGCTCTTACTGGATGGTGGGGAATGAAAGGATTTATACTCCTTTGCATTCTTTCAGAGAGTTGTTGAGGCCACTTGGAGGTTTATCTGTGTCATCAGGGTCACCTGATTAGTGTAAATGGGTGCAGAGCCTCCTTGGAACTCTTGAAAAGACTGTGTTGTAGACTGAAGATAGATGATGTTGTATCCTTCCTCATCTGTTGACAGCGGGCTGTTCAACCTACTGGAGCACAAAATGGGAGTTATCAGAACCCTACACCATCGAGCCGAAGGTCTGCCTACCAGCAAAGATGGGGAAAGAAAAAGAACTAAAACACATCAAGGAAGCCCTCAGAACCTGTGGCTATCCTAAGTGGGCCTTCATCAAATCCCAAAAAAGACCCAGCAGGAGCGCCTCCATAACAGACAAAGAAGAGAACAATAAATGAAGCAATGTTGTCATTCCATACGTTAAATGAATATCAGAAAAGCTCAGGAGGATCTTCAGCCAACACAACATATGTGCATACTTCAAACCCAAGAATACACTAAGGTAGAAGCCTGTGCACCCCAAGGATAAAATACGCAGATACAAACTGAACAACGTGGTATATACAGTATAATGCAATGAGCATTGCAGATCTTTACATTGTGGAAACAAAACAACCACTTCATAAATGCATGGCATAATTTAGGAGAACACACCCATCAGCACAAGATTCAGCAGTCCATCTACATTTAAAAGACAAAGGCCATTCTTTTGAAAGTCCACATTTTGAAAGTCCACATTTTGGACAGAGAGGACTGCTGGTTTGAAATAAGGGCCAAAGGCCATCTATGTCAAAATTTAACAGCGCTCTCTCAACAGAGGAGGAGGAATACGACATCATCTATCTCCAGACTACAACACAGTTCTTTCAACAGTACCAAGAAGGCTCCATGCCCATTTGCAACAACGCAGGTGACCCTGAGGACATAGATCAACCTCCAGGTGGCCTCAACAACTCGCTAAAAGAATGCAAATGACCAGCTGTCTGCAAGGACTATAAATCCTTCCATTCCCCACAATCCAGTCAGAGCTGAAGAAGAACAAGAAAATCCAGTTGCCTCTTGAAAAAGCACCTTTGGGTTTACTTCCCATTACGAAAGCATAACATTGTAAATTGGAATGACTGTAAACAGAGAGAGCTTCACATGTACTGTACTTCTTTGCTACAGACAGCAATATCACTTTGTGAGTGCTCCCTTTGGGACGCATAATGTCCATTCTCAAAACAGGAAAATATAATGTACTAGTTTAGAAGAATCAAGTTTTTTTTCAAAGAATTAAATTACACTCTTAGAACTGTGTGTAACAATGCTGAAATGCCTCACAGATTTTATTTGTGCTTGTCAAAAATTACTGCCAGGTATTTTAAATCAAACTGCAGCACTAACTATTTATTTGAAATAAAAACTGTGCCAACATTTTAGCTCCCCCCCCCACAATAACAATCTTAGTTTTGCAGTGTGTAAACATGATTAAATACCATTAATATTTTTGGAGACATTGAGGTAACTTCTGCCCCAGATTGGGAAAAATGCCTTAAAAGTGCAGAAGTATTTTAGAAGATTTATATTTTTCCCAGAAATTCTATATTCTCATATGAGAAGGATTGAAATATTAAAGTATTTAAATTATTTAAATATTTAAACTATTCATCAGTACAATGATTGCAGAAACTGCTATATCACAAGGCAAAATAACAAGGCCAGCCCTTTAATGTTGGCAAACTGCCAGCTAGTAAATTCATTATTATATTGTTTGTCTAAATATGGGAAAGACATTTTCCTAGTGCTCAGATATTTTGAGCTGGGCTTTTCAGAGGATAAAAGGTTTTGTTTCTCTTTGGAAATGCTATTCCACACAACTTATCATGATGCTAATTTCTACTTCCCCAAAGAGATATACATAAATCCAAAATAGTTTGAAAATGGGCGGTGAACCAACAGAAAGCTAGTGAAATTCATAGCTGTACAGTATATTCCTCAGCCATACAAAAACCCCAGGGGAATACAGGTTTTACAAAAATCAACAAAACGGATTAAAATATATTTATATTCATGCATCTCTGTATGCATGCTAGATTGTTCCAATACAGTCACATAACTGTAAACTTGGAGCATCACAGTACAACTTGTAAAGCATTATTGTTTTTTATTTATAGATATTCTGAAATATTTGGAGAAGGATTTATTATTGTGATTCTTACAAATAGTAAAACTGCTTGGGGTTGTTGTGTAAAGTAAATAATACTTTATGCAATTTATTTACATAGTTATTCAGTTTATTTATTGTATTACTAATAGCTGAGTTGTTAAAAGAAATATTAATTGCTATTTTTTAAAATAATCATTTAGTTCTTACAAATTTATAGCTAATGTTTTTAAAGAAATTGGATGTTGGTCTTACCTGATACGTCCGTTCTCGTTCAGGAAGGGAAGTCAGTCAGACTGGGAAGGACTTCCTCTATGCAGCATTGATCGAGTCTTGCCAATCAGAATAACTCCGCCCTCAAGGCCCAGTGTTTCGGCGAGGGCGTAGGCGTAGACTGACGTGTCTTCCTGGAATGAGAAAGAATTAAAAGCACCCTCCCCCAACCGACCAAGAGGGCCGGACCCAAGGGTGGGGCTGACTGACTTCCCTTCCTGAACGAGAACGGACGTATCAGGTAAGACCAACGTCCATTCTCCGGAGGAAGAGAAGGCAGTCAGACTGGGGACATACCAAAGCTGCATGTCCACCAGGGTGGGAACAACCGGCCCGATACCTCAGGGGGGAAGAATGGACTGCAGCACTCGGCGACCAAAGGCAGCATCCGCAGATGTGAAGGAGTCCACGCGGTAGTGGCGGATGAATGGAGAAATAGAAGTCCACGTGGCCACCCTGCAGACCTCTTCCAGGGGTGCTTGAGTGGACCAAGCGGCGGAAGTCGCTGCGCTCCTGGTTGAATGGGCCGTGATGTTTCGCGGGACGGGCAGTTTCAATTGTTGGTAGGCCAAGGCGATAGTAGCCCTGATCCATCGTCCCAAGGTAGTACTAGAGACGCGGGCCCCCACAGTATGGGGTTGAAAGGAAACGAACAACGCTTCTGTTTTGCGAAAGGGAGCAGTCCAGTCCAGGTAGATCCGCAGAGCCCTGCGGACATCCAGTCGATGCCACGAATGCTCCAGACGATGCGTGGGATGAGGGAAAAAATTTGGGAGCACAATCTCTTGTACCCTATGGAAGAATGTGTTAAGTTTGGGCAAAAAGGCTGGGTCGAGGCGCAGGACCACCCTGTCCTTGTGAAAGATACAAAGGTCACTGCGGGTGGACAGGGCAGCTAGCTCCGATATCCTGTGCGCCGAAGTAATAGTGACGAGGAACGAAACTTTAAATGATAGGAAACGGAGAGAAACTTGACGAAGCGGCTCGAAGGGAGACGAGACGAGTGCCGTGAGAACTTTGTTCAAATCCCAAGTAGGGAAACGATGCACAGGAGGAGGGCGGAGGTTGGTAGCTCCGCGGAGGAAAATGCGGATGAAGGGGTGATGGGAGAAGGAGTCCGGAGAACCGCACGAAAGGATGGAGGCCAGAGCTGCCACTTGACGACGGAGAGTGTTAGGAGCTAATCCTGCTTCGAAGCCAGCTTGGAGGAAGGTAAGGACATGGAGAATGGAAGCCAAGAGAGGATCGACTGCAGAGCGGTTACACCAGGAAACGAAAGAGCGCCAGGTAGCCCCATAGATTCTGGTTGTAGATGGGCGGCGAGCGGCCTGCATCATGGAAACCACCGGAGGAGGGACGAGGTGAGCTGTTAGGAGGCGCTGCTCAACCTCCACACGGTCAAGTGAAGCCACTTGGGGTCCGGATAAGTGAGACGGCCCTGGGTCAATGTCACTAAGGAGTCCGGTATGCGCCAGTGAGGTGCTACAGAGAGGGACAGCAGGTCCGCGTATCAAGGGCGACGTGGCCAGTGCGGGGCGATGAGGAGTAGGTCCGCCTTCTCCGCCAACATCTTCCTGAGTACACGAGGGATGAGGGGAAGGGGGGGAATGCGTATAGAAGACCGGGAGGCCACGGGCAGCAGAGGGCGTCGGAATCCTCTGCCTGAGGGTCCGGGAACTGTGAGAAGTACCGGGGAAGGAGGTGATTGGTTACCGAGGCGAACAGGTCGACAACCGGCATCCCGTATCGACGGACAATCTTCTGGAAGAGGGATGGAGAAAGGCTCCATTCCCCGTGATCCACGGGCGAGCGGCTGAGGGCGTCCAATTGTAGATTTGCCGTCCCGGAGATGTGTTCCGCCCGGATGGACGACAGGTGGGATTCGGCCCAGCGGCCCAGCAGAATGGTCTCCGAAAGCCGAGCCTTGGAATGAGTGCCCCCCATCTTGTTTATGTGCGCTTTGGTTGTTATGTTGTTGGTAAGGACAAGAATGTCCTGGCCCTCTACTAGAGATCGAAAGGAGAGGAGGGCTAGGCGCACGGCCCGCAATTCCAGGTAGTTGATGTTGTGCTGTCGGTCCCGGGCGGTCCACTGACCGTGGGCCATGTGATGGAGCAGGTGAGCCCCCCAGCCGGTCAAGCTGGCGTCCGTCGTGAGGACCAGTCGAGATGGTTCTGTGTAATTGCTCCCCTTGGAGACTGCCTCTGAGGACCACCATCGGAGGGACGACCGTACTAAAGGAGGGAGATGGATGCGGGCCAGAGAGTTGCTCCTGCCAGCGCGCTGGTACAGGAGGAGGAGCCACTGCAGCTCCCTGCAGTGCAATCTAGACCAGGGAACAATTCCGAAAGTGGAAACCATTTTACCCAGAAGGCAAGAGAATTTCATGAGAGAGACCGAATCCGCAGCCCAGCATTGGCTAATTAGGTCACGGAGAGCCAGTTGACGGTCTGGGGAGAGGAACACCCTGGAAGAGACTGTGTCAATTGTGGCTCCCAGGTGGATGATACTTGTGGAAGGTGATAGGTGGCTTTTGGCCCAATTGACAGAGAACCCATGGGATTGGAGAAGAGAAAGGACAGAGTCAAGGTCCTTGGTGGCCGAAGAAAGGGAAGTAGACATAATGAGGATATCGTCCAAATAAAATTGAAGCCTAATGGGAAGGGACCTGATATGACCTATAAGTGCAGCCATGACCTTGGTGAAAACCCTTGGGGCCGAGGAGAGACCAAAGGGCAAGGCTCTATACTGGAAATGGGACCCCATGAAATGAAAACGGAGAAACTGACGGTGGGAAGGGTGAATCAGAATATGGAGGTAGGCCTCCGTTAAGTCAATTGAAGAGAGAAAATCCCCTGGGCGGAGGTACTCCAAAATGGAGAACAGGGTGTGCATCTTGAACCGGCGATAAATTATGTACCGGTTCAGAGTTTTAAGGTCTAAAATGGCCCTCCATCCCCCCGAGGACTTAGGGACTACAAAAAGACGGGAGTAAAATCCCCTGCCCTGTTGATCAGGGGGGCACCCTCTGAACAGCCCGAATAGCCAGGAGATGGTTGATGGCTGAGGAAACCAGGGCCTGCTTCTGCGGGTCCCAAGAGAGAGGGCATGAAATAAAAACTGGGGGGGGGGCTGAGGAATTCTAAAATAAGGCCTGAGCGAATAGTGGAGAGGACCCAAGCGTCGGACACCGAGGAAACCCATTGGGGATAGAAATAGGACAAACGACCCCCTATAGGAATATCATTCCAGAATCTATCTGCCTCTCCTGGCGAAGCGACCCCGCCCTCCCCGAAAGGACCTGCGTGGCTGGAAACCGCCCCCCGATCTAACCTGGGAGTCAAGATGCTGGCTTCGAGGAGGGGCGGGACGGTGGAAGCGTGGCTGAAACGAGTTGGAGTCCGGTGCACGAAAGGGCTGGGACCGTGGATACGGAGAGTAGCGTGAAATTGACCTTTGAAGTTGAGAAGGGAGGATCTTGCGCTTGTCCCGGGTTTCGACCAGGAGACGTTCCAGTGGGGGTCCGAAGAGGGAGCCAACCGTATACGGGGCTGAGGCAAGCTGCCACTTACTGCGGATGTCTGCCTGCCAGTTTTGGAGCCAGAGAAGGCGGCGGGACGTGATGGAAGAGCCAAGGGCCCTGGCTGCAAATCTCGTAGCGTTGAGCGTGGCATCCGCTGAATACTCCAAGGCGGCGGCTATCTTATTGAGGTCTTGATGAGCTCTGAGATCGGAGCGGGGCAAGCGATCTTGCAATTGCTTCAGCCAGAGAAGGGCCGCCCGGTTGAAAAAGGATGCCGAAGATGAGACACGGATGGACCAAGCAGCCGCAAGGTGTCCTTTGAGGAGCGTCTTCTCTGCTCTCTTGTCCTCCGGGCAGAGGGAATCCTCGGGTGGTCCAGTGGGATGCACCGGATTCGTCAAGGCGATGATGGGAGGATCCACCGTAGGAGGCTGTAGGAGGTCGGCCAAAGCTTGAGCCGAGTTGTAAAGACATTTGTCTAAATTGTTGGGGCTGGGGCCCGCGCCCGGAAGAGACCACTGTCGGTGGAGGACATTGAGGAAAAGCTTCGGGGTGGGAACCGTTTCGGGAGCCACAGTAAGTTCCGCAAAGAGAGCAGAAGCAGGATCTGGTGGTGCAGGAGTGGCGGAAGTAGAAGGGAGCTCTCCCAGGCATGTGGTGGCAATGGCCTTGAACAGCAAGGACCGGAACATTTGTGGGTTAAAGAGCCCAATAAATGGAGACTGGTCCGGAATTAGGCCCTCATCATCTGAAAGGGCAGCATCTGGGGCATCTTCCCAGAATAGGGAAGGCCGTGGCTGTGGCTAATTCCCCAGAATAGGTATACTCATCAGGTTCCAGGTCGAGAGATCTGTCATCGACGCTGCCCTGGTGGATCTGAACGGAGGCTGGAGGAACTACCGGCAATCCCACCTGTTGCAGACACTGAGCAAATCCATCTCTGATGACCCCTGTTAGCATAGCCTCCAAGGCTTCTGGTGCCTGGGCCGGGGCTGCGGGCGTGGGGGGAACCTCAGGAGGAGCAGGAACGAAATTCAAAATGGCCACCGCCAAATTCACGCCAAAATAAACGGTTGACTCACTGTCTCAGCGATCCGAAGGATTCCTCACAGGCAAAGGCAATGCAGCCGACGAGCCGGGAGAAGAGAAATCGCTAGCTCAAGGCTATTAGCGCGATTTAAACTGCGAGGCAAAGGGGCCAGCTGAGGAAATTTTGCTGCTGGGCGAAAGCCTTTGAAACACAGCTGCAGTTTTAAACGAAAAGGTGAGCAACCCTCTTTGAAGGAGAACCTGGCATTTGCAGATCTCCAAGGCTAAAGTCAGATCTCCAAGGCTACAGGCAAAAACGCTGCTGGGCAAAAGCCTTTGAAGCGCAGCGGGAGCTCGTTAAGGTGATTGGCTTCAAAGATAAGGCTGCGGGGGAGGCCTGACAGCCATCAGGCTCCTAGCCGGCTCCCCGGCTTGCCGCTGAGCAGCGCTGATCCAGCGAGCAGAAATAAATAGCCGATTGGTCTCAGGAGAAAAACAGGAACTAAATTAAAGGTAAAATAAAATAAAATAAAATAAACCAAAGGGAAGGGAAGCCAAAGGAGTAGCAAAGGGCTGGAAAGGCTGGAAGACACGTCTAAGCAGCATAGATCGAGTCGAAACACTGGGCCTTGAGGGCGGAGTTATTCTGATTGGCAAGACTCGATCAATGCTGCATAGAGGAAGTCCTTCCCAGTCTGACTGCCTTCCCTTCCTCCGGAGAAATTAACTGTAGTGTTTTTTTAAAGCTTAATAAAAATTTAAAAGAAAATGCATTTATTTATTCATATCTATTTTATAAGAATGTATGTGTATATATATGTGTGTGTGTGTGTGTGTCTGTGTGTGTGTGTGTGTATAATTTATATATATATATAAATTGGTATAAAAATGGTTTGTCATGAATGCGACTGCTTGAGGGCTCCTGGATTGGAGCTGAAAGGCGAAAGACAAGCAGAAGCTTCTGCACCAACTCAGGAAACTCAAACTCCCCAAGAAGCTGCTGATCCAGTTCTACAGAGGAATTATTGAGTCTGTCATCTGCATCTCTATAACTGTCTGGTTTGGCTCTGCAACCCAACAAGACAGACACAGACTTCAGAGGATAATTAGAACTGCAGAAAAAACAATTGCTACCAACCTGCCTTCCATTGAGGACCCGTATACTGCACGAGTCAAAAAGAGGGCTGTGAAAATATTTACAGACCCCTCACATCCTGGACATAAACTGTTTCAACTCCTACCCTCAAAACGACGCTATAGAGCACTGCACACCAGAACAACTAGACACAAGAACAGTTTTCTTCCCCAAATGCCATCATTAGGCTAAACAAATAATTCTGTCAAACTATTTACTAAGTCTGCACTACTATTAATCATCTCATCGTTCCCACCACCCATCTCCTTCCACTTATGACTGTATGGCTGTAATTTTGTTGCTTGTATCCTTACAATTTATATTGATATTGTTTCCTGATTGCTTATTTGTACCCTATGACTATCATTAAGTGTTGTATCTTATGATTCTTGATGAACGTATCTTTTCTTACAGTATATGTACACTGAGAGTATATGTACCAAGACAAATTCCTCATGTGTCCAATCACACTTGGCCAATAAAAATTCTATGTACATATGAATCCCCCCTCCCACATGTTGGGGTAGACCAGGTGCCTCGATAGAAAAAACACACACACACACATATTTAGTGTGTGTGTGTATGTGTGTATAGTGTGTGTGTGTGTGTGTGTGTGTGTGTGTGTGTGTGTATAACCAAATAAATAAATAAAATAATAGACACATGAGGACACTCCCTATGAGGTCAGTTTGAAAGAATTGGGGATGTTTTAGGCTAGTGAAAAAAGCTTGAGTGGAAACATGATGTTATTATTCAGATACATTAAAAGATGTTGTAGGGAAGAAGGTGAGGGATTTTTTCTGCTGCCTTAAAACCAGAGACCAAAAATATTGGGTATAGGTTGCAGCTATTAGATTTCATTTAAATATAGGGGAAATTACCTAATAGTAACATCTGTACAACCATAGAATTAATCCGGTACAGAGCTTGCAGATTCTCCATTCTGGAAGTTCTTAAGAAGAGGTTGAACTGCTACCATTTGTGGATAGTTTTAATTGGTTTTCCTGCACATTGCAGATGATTGGTATATAGATGATGGTACCTTCCAACTCCATAATTCTGTGATTCTACATAAAAATGTTAATTTACTGAGGTTGTATGTACTAACCGAGTAAATACAGAAAATGAAGCAGATTCTGAGGTTCCTCAAATTATTTCTCCTAGGTCCTCTTTGATTACAGATGAGATGACAATCAGAGGAATACAATTAGGGAATGCAGAGAATTCTGAACAGTCACTTTGCCAAGAAAAAGTTGGAAAGAACAATCTGGCTGGAGAATTGGATAGAACTGGATGGAGGAATTCAGTGAAAAAGGTTTAGGGTTAGGTTTGTATTTGATGGATATTTGATGCATTTTTATTTTTATTCAACGTTTACCCTTCTTGCAATGTTCTTTGCTTTTCTGCCCTCTTTTACAGCAATACTGAAACTAATACATGTCTTTTTTTTTAAGCAAAAAAAGAATGTGCTTGTGAAATCTTTTTTAGCTTTTTAAATTGTCAATGGGTTTTAGTTTGAATGTTTTAAATTTTGGGCCAAAGTCATGTAATTCTTTTAAAAATTTTAAATTTTGTATTGGTATGTGTTTTAGTTCTGGCTGTGCCCCGCCCTGAGTCCACTAAGAGAAGGGCGGTATACAAATTGAATAAAATAAAATAAATAAATAAATAAATAAAATCTGGATCCATGGAAATACAGGGTCTATAGATAAAAATTAATATTATATAAAAAGAATAATAAAATGACTTATAAAGAAGACTCTAACACAGTGTTCATACTGGAGTACTTGATAACAACTTGAAAATAAAGTGCCTTGGAAAACGTAAATAATTTCAAAAGGTCATTGCCAAGAGCTGTATCCAAATTTTTGCTATTCCAAATAATCTCTAACTGTATTCTGAAGCAGTGTTGTCTGTAAACCACAATAACATTTTTTGCATACAGAATTACTATGGTTACATAGGTTTGAGACATAGTTGTACAATGCCAAGAGTCATTAAGTCAATAAGATGGGCAGTGCTTAAATTTGATAAATGAATTAATAAATTTGATCAGATTTACCCGTCTAATCTATGCTCCAATCATCTCATGTTCATCAACTCTCTGTCATCCAGGAAATTGGTGGAATGGAGTGATTAAGATAAATAGAATCAACAATCCTAATCAATTCTTATTTCCTAAAATAAATTAGGGGTGCAATATATATGGTACAATACAGATGGTTGATTTGCTGTATTTACAATACAGATGGTTGTTTGCATGTACAGTACAGTTATGTACTGTACACACAAACAGAAATGGGATGGCAGTCCATGCCACCAGAGGTTGTGTTTCCTCTTAGATTGTCCTCAAAGAAACAGTTGTGAAGAAACCATTCAAATGTTTAAGTATCCTTATTCAGTTTGTCTGAACCTCAAGCATCTCAATGCCCATGGGAAGAAGAAGATAGATACCCACCCAGTACTCTTTTGTACAATTCCCAAAATCATATAACTGTCTCCCTTGACAGATATTTATTCTGCTTCTGCCTACCAACCCCCCTAAACACACAGAAAAGAGATTTTCTGAACAAATTAATCCCAATTATAAACAATTTAAGAAGCAATACATATTGATAAATCAATCTATTCGTGCAATCCTATGTATAGTGTCCTTTGAGACAATTATATCTGGTATTATGTCAGCATGTTGGTATCATCTGAACTGGCATGGCTCCATAATTATGTAGATTGTGACCTGGACCTGAAATGAATTGATAAGTGAATCCCACTACTGGAGTTTTCAGGGGATAAATTTCAGACAGAAGGAAGCCAGTGATATTGAATAAGTTGAAACACTAAAGAACTGAGTTATACTCCACCCACAAACAAAACAAAACATATCTGCTCTTGTATTTCCTTTCTTGCCAAATGCTATCAGGAAGGGCTTCCTTTTCCACCCCCCAACATCTGTGATCTCAGCTCATTCCCCCTCCCCATTTCCTTTGGGGCTTCAGAAACTAAAACCTGGGATGATCAGAGGCTACAGATTGTGTTCCATCAAAATGTGCATAGATTTGGGGAAATTAAGTTTATAAAGTTTTCCTGAATCAGTTAGATCTCTGCATCCTGATATGGAAGATGAAAATTTTTCTCACATAAATATTGTTGAAAGAAGAGATATATAACCTAATAATTCAAAAAGTATTTTAAAAGGGTTTCTATTATTTCTTAAACTTCCCACAACTTTGTAATAAATCACACAAATTATATTTTTCCCTCAATCAACTGATTTATTTTCCTATAAAGGGAATACCTTGCTCTTTGTAGTAGATGAATAAATAAACAAACATAAAAGGAATCAAGCAACATTAAAAGGCATCTATAAAAGATCTACAAATATCAACATACATAGCAAGTGCGAGTTTGAAGAATTTCAACATTTATATCATACATTAAACTTTTCAAAAATTATATTCTCAAAGCCCCAGAATGCTTTATTTAATAGTTTTAGAATAAGAACAGGACAATGATTTCAAAAATAGGGTAACGTCTGAAAATTGTCTGACTTCCTTTATAATGCCAGTACCTCTAATGACCTCATTCATTGTATTATTTATTCATTAGGAAAGTGACACTGAAATGTTTCTTCCTGATTAAGATTGTTTCTCTTTAATGAGAATGTTTAAATGTTCTGATAGGAAACTCTTATTTATTTTTAAGAACAAAGCAGTTTTGTGTGTGTGTTAGATTCTCCATGTAATGATATTCAACAGCTAAACTGACTTTTGGTCAAGAAACATGCTCCAGATAGATTTCTAAAAATAACAATGGACCTTCTGATAATAAAAACTAATTCTATTAGAACTTTATTTTTTTCTTTCATTACATGGCCATCAAAGAACATAGTGGAGGGACACCATCAAAACTGACATCAGCCTGAGCATAGAAAAACTCAAAAAGGTAGTGCAAGACAGGAGGACCTGGCCCATAGATTTGCTAAGAGTCAGACATGATTGAATGGATATCATCATTTTCATAATCATCATCATGCATAATTGTTATATTTATTTATTTTATTAAAAGTGA